TTCACTTCCATCAGAATGAGACTCAGAAGGAGCACCCAGAGCCAGACTGAACAAGAAGAGGAGCAAGATCATGTTGGAGCTTTAAGTCTCAACCTTTGATGAAGAGCTGCTGAAGCTTCTTTGTACGGGATTCCTGCACAGAGTTGGAGCTGCTTTCTTTTATTGCTTTCTGAGAGGGTGTTTTCACACTAAACACAAACCAGAAAAAAAAAAGATCAAATTCCAAAATCAGGAACAAATGTTGTTTGTTTTTTTTTTGCTGTGTGATTTGTATGTATTGCACCATAAAGGCGTTATCAGCAGAATGACTAATCAAACAGGACAGGTCAGTGCTCTAGCAGGTAAAAACTCCTGAGTTGCTCCATTACACAAAGACAGAATGAACTCCACACAATCAAGAGGATCCTCTCTTAGTACTGGACCCAGAGATATGTGACTGCTGTGGCAGGCCTGATTGGAGTAAATGACAAAATAGATAAACTATTAACACCTTTGGTTTAGTAGATTTACTTCACTTCACCCCTGTGTCTATTACAATTGTAAAGCATCCAAAATAAAACCCCTGCAGTAACCAGACTAATCTAAAAGCAGATCATTACCACTGCTGTGTCAGCTACACTGTCCTGCAGATATTTGGCACTCGTGAGAGGTTTGTGTGATCGTCTTAAAGCTTTGTTCATCTGAGCTTCCACCATATCCCTTTACTGAAGTTTCCTGCTCCTTCTGCTTATCAGGGATGTAAATCCTTAGGTGACGACCAAGCAGACAACAAGGTCATAATTCTCTCTGTGGTAGGTATAGCCCCCCCGTGAGAGGGGCCAACATGTAAGAGTTTGTGGAATGGTCTTTGTCTGTGTCTCTGTATATAAGATGTAGGGGCGGTGGCCACAATTCAGAGATGGTCCTGGTGTTTCACTGGGATGCTCTCTCCACATTGCAATGTGTTCATTAAACCCACTTCAAATCAAGCTCACTGGGTCTGTTTCAGGTTATTGTTAAATTTTCCACAACAATTTGGCATTGTCGGGCAGGATTCTTCCGGTGGGTTTTGCTGAATCACGGGCACGCGGTGACTGGCCATCCTGAGGTAAAATTGCCTCAGTCCCACCGTTGTTTTCAAAAAGGGGGAACCGCGGGGTGTGCTTCAGCGACTCACACATGCAGGAATTTTTAAAAGAACCAAGAGAGGCACTGCAAAGGATCTGCAACGGTGAGCTGTTTTGATTTGTACATTTTAGCCTGAACAACAAGCTTCGAGGACGATCAATCTCTCCCTGAAGACAAAATGCAGTTCGAGAGCCACGGCGTTGACTTCAAGAGTCAACAAGATGAACAGACAGCACCACTGCCCTAAACCTTGAACCTTAAAGGGTTCAGAAGCATGTACAAATGCAATCGTTGATGGAAGCATGTGCTCCCAATCACAAGCTGAGAGGTTCACCAGTGACATCACTGTGTATGAATGGACTTGAGAACACTGTCTGAGTTTCATATTTGCCATACTGGGAGTTGAAATGGCAAAGGAAGAAACTGAAAAGAGTGAAAGACATAAGGCAAAGCTGAAGAAGAACAGCCGACTGGGCCCCTGACACGCCACAACCGTGAACTGCTGCAGATGTGGGAGAGAGACAGAAGCTGTGAGAGCTTCCAGGGGTATGGGATGGTTACCAAGTTTTAGCTTCACTTCACTTCCATCAGAATGAGACTCAGAAGGAGCACCCAGAGCCAGACTGAACAAGAAGAGGAGCAAGATCATGTTGGAGCTTTAAG